TTAATAGTATATTTTGCTTTAATCACAATATTTTTTGTGTGTATAGATTAATATGGTGGACAAGGGATCTTGGATTTAACTAAAATCGCAATTGATTGTTAATCAAATCAAATAAAGTAAAATTTTAACTTTTTTAAATGATAAAAACTTGGGCCGGGCCTGGGGATGGTTGTCCCAAACCTGGCCCATAACCGAGGGCGGGCTCTAAAACCATGCCTAGGCCCATGCCCATCCCCGCAAACAACGGGTAATGCCCGGCCTGTAAAATCCGAGTACAATTGCCATCTTTGGTTCAATTATAGAAATCTTTTTAGTTTAATTTTTTTATTTAAAAACTGATTCAAAACCGGTTAACCGCTTTTCCGAACGATTTTTCAGTTTGGTTGAAAACCGGTTCAAGCAGTCAACCGCTTCGGTTTCGGTTTGGATTTTTGCTTGAACCAATTTTCGATTTGGTTAAAAAATGAACTGGTTCGGTCTGGTTAATCGGATTTGAACACACCTAGTGTGTATAAATTGGTTTTGTGCTCATTATATTAACCTGTTCAAAATTCTCATCACACACATATGATAGTGGACTAAAAACCCCCCTCACATACAAGTATACAACATACAATCTATAAAACTGCCAAATTTCCTCACCCAACAAAGCTCGAGACCTAGTAAAATAACTCCACAAAGAACTCATCCAATCTCCTAATAACACAAACACCACTAAGGCTAACTATTATAGGTATGAAGATGATGTAAATGTAATGACTATTATGAAATGAAAGCAATATGTGCTATGAATGTTTAAAAACAATGAAAACGTGAAATGAGTTATATAAATTTTATAAAAAAAAGATATTGATTTCTCCATCCAATAATGGTTCATACAAGACCACTATATATATATACTAGGTCCATAACCCAATCTCACAACTTTCGACGTGGCAGCTTATAGTTGGTCAAGTAGACGGGACCTACAGCAAGCAGACAGGACCCATTTGTGAGCTGACCAATTACTAGCTGTCACGTCGGGGTTGTAAGATTGGGTTGTGGACATAGCATTTTTCTTTCAATTCATGATCTAAAAGAATATTCCTTTACAAAACAAAATGCAATAAAAATTGCACACACAAAAAGAAACCAGTTTCTTGTTTTGTTTGGTAGAGTTAATAAATGGAATTTATCAACCCCTCAAGGGCCGTTTGGTTAGCAGTAATAAAAGATTATTCCGGTAATCTATCCTAAAATTCGGATATTAATGTGTTTGGTTGTTAGGTAATAAAAGATTTCAGACATCTTCCCATACCAATAGAGATTACTGTAGGGGGTTGTTTGGTTAGCGATAATAAAATATTGCGGCCATAATCTATCTCAAAAACATGATATTACCTTGTTTGGTTTTAGGTAATTTTTCAATGCCAGTAGTGTTTACTATAGGCTATATTGGGGATAATCCGATAACCGGGTGAAATGGTGTTATTTTAAGATTACCAAGGTTATCCAATTTTTATTCTCATTTTACCCTTAATTAATTAACATTTCAGATGGAAATGTCATCATATGTCTGTCAAATAACAATTAGCCCAACTATGCAAAATGACTTTTCTAACCCCCCTACATTTGAGAATTTGCTAAAACAACTCAACCACAATAAAAGTTTAAAATATAAAAAAAAAAAAAAAACCTCTAACCACCTAAGACCACTGCCGACTGCTAGCCATCACCATTGATAGTTGTCGAAACGGCACATGATCTGGCCATAAATGGCCAGATCTATTATGGTTGTTTCCAGTCAGATTTGTAGCCATTAATGGCATTAGATCTGGCCATTTTCAGTTAGATCCACATTGATATGGCCATTTCCAATAAGAGATCTAGCAGGAAACAACTAGATTGGGGCACAACTATTGAGTGTTGGAAATACAGATTTATTTAGTGATTTGGGGGTGAAACTGTAAGGAATTTAAGGTTTAATGCATGATTTATAATGTAATTTGTTATATGTTTTGTTATCTTCCGAAATCACAGGTGTTGTGTGTGTTTTTCAGGTATTCAAGTGCAAAAGAATGGATTATTCATGCTTATGCTGGTGTTCGGACACCTTGGACTCTTCGAGTGCAGATAAATCAAGGCAAGAAGTAAAAGTGTGAAATTCTGACTTTGCGTCGCAACACACTTTTTTGAGTCGTGGTGTGGTATGGTTTTTGTTGAAGAAGAAATTGCCAGGAAACATACTGGGGCTCAATTAAGCGCCACGGCGTAAATCACTCAAAATGTAAAAATGTCGCATATCTAACCCTAATTTCAGAAACCAATATTCATAAGTTTGCCATTTTGTCTAAAAACTATATAATGGCAGCTTTAGTCCGTTTTTAGGAAGTTTTTTAGGTTTGAGATACACATTTTAGGGATTAAACTAAATTTGGGGCTTCTTAAAAAGGTGGAGATTGGAGAGGAGAGGAGGTTCTCTTCCTCTCCTCCTCCTCCTTTGTTCTTCATGATTATGGTTCTAGGTGTAATCGTTTCTTTTCCTTTATGTTGTAGTTTGTTTTCTAGGGATTTCATGTAATCTAATTGAAGGCTTGTGTTTTATTGTTATTTTATTTGTTCGATCCATTCTATTATGTTCTAGATTCATTCATTGCATTTAATTCAATCTTTAGTTGATATTTGGGCTTGATCAACCTTGATGTTAATTAATTGATTGTATGAGACAAGATTGTGTATGGAATTATTAATTTGTAGCCTTGTTCAGGTATAGATTGGTTTTTGTCTTTAAAATTGTCCTGTACTTAATGGGTTTTCGTTACTAGACTAGGCTATACGCCACTAACTAGTTTAGTTGATGGAAACACTAACTTATTCCGAATGGCCGCGGTAATATCTTAGAAACGAGAGACGTCGTGCCTATCTTGATTAGCTCAGTGAATGGATGATTTGTGTCTATGCGAATTATTCATTCGTTAGTTAGACTAGGCTATACGCCACTAGCTAGTTTAATTGATGAAAGTACTAGGTTTAACCCGATGATGTACGAACCCTAGAATGGAGTGGAGAGAACAATAGTTTGATGATGAACACGTAGCTTGATAATTATGATGGAATTAGCGCTCTAGGATTCTTTGTGGATAGTTAGAATTAGATTTACTTTAATGTCGTTTATATGTTTTCTTTATTTCATTCTCATTTTGATTCATCAAGGCATAGTTACTAGGATCGCGAGAGCATCTCTATTCTCTATGGGATTGACCCTTACTCGTGCACTATGTTGTGATTGCAACTCGTGCACTTGCGAAGGATTAAACTTTGTATGTCTCTCAAGTTTTTGGTTGAATTGTGCCCCAGCGCGTTTGAATTGCGCCCCGGCCAAATCCGATTGATCGTGCATCGTTTCAGCTATTGTCAACATGGTTAGGGTATTTTGTTAAATTTTAAATTTTTATTGTGGCTGAGGTATTTTAGCCAAATTCTCAAATGATAGGGGGTTAAAAGTAATAATCTAAATAATAAAATAATAATATTAAAAAAAAAAAAACAATTTAGTAAGAGGGTCTCCCAAAATTATTTTATTCCTCTCAACCAAACATATTAATTATTTATACCCACAAATCAAATCAAACATATGTAATATAACATTCCCCTTAATCTTCAAGGTAATATATTTCACTGGTAATCTTATCTTTTTTAGTAATACAATATTTCCTGAACCAAACAACCACTATGTGATATTGGAGGTACTCTAATTACCTAAAAAAATGTGTTATTTTAAGGTTATCAAGATAATCCAATTTTTGTTCCTATTTTACCCTTAATTAATTAACATTTCAAACACAAATGCCCTCGTATATTTGTCAAATAGCAATTAGCCCAACTATGCAAAATGACTTCTATAACCCCCTGCATTTGAGAATTTGCTAAAATACCCCCACCACAATAAAAGATTAAAATTTAACAAAATATCTTCAACCACCCAAGACGACGGTCAACCGCCGCTACCAACCATCACTAACAGTCATCGGAATGGTGCATGTCTGACCGAATCTGGCTAAAATTTCTGTTGACATATGGTTGGCTCACATGTTTAAAATTGGGTTTTGGAAAGAAATGGAAATGTATAGTTGGAATGTGGTGTTGTGAGTTGTTATGTGCGGTACAGTGGGTGTTGATGTTGGCCCTGTTTTGGGGTTGTTGAGCAGGTAAAAGGGAGTGTAGTGGGCTGCTGGGCATGAGCAAAGGGTGGGATGGCTTTGCTGGGCATGATAAAAGTGTTCTGCATATGTTTTGGTCAAATGGTGGTTTTGTGATGGCTGTGACGATGCGGGTGAGAAATTGATGGTGAGAGTGGTTGAGCCAAGTGATTCGAGATCGAAATTGATGGTGAGAGTGGTTGAGCCAAGTGATTCGAGATCGAACTCGATCTTGAGTTTGAACTTCAATCGAGTTGAACTCGAGCTCGAGCTTGACTAGGTTGTAATTGAGCCTGACTAGGTCGTAATTGAGCCGAACCCAAACTGAGTTCGAGCCCACCATATATCTATCTAGCTCAAGCTCAACAATTGAAGCTAGTAAGATATGAGCTGAAGGGCAAGTGTCCATTAAAGTAGCAAACAAAATATAACCAGATGCCAAGCGGCCTTCTATATTTTGGGTCCAATTAAATCTGATGATAATAATATGAGTTGCAATCATTAGCAATTGAAAAGGCACAGCCATATCAATTTTTAAGATCATAAATGTGCGTCGATAAAGATCATACGAAAACTATAAGATATCATTTGAACAGATAGGTGGCTGGTAGACTCTATGAAAACATCCAAATTGAATCGAAGCAGTTGCTTTTTGTAGGTCGTATATTTCGTTACTTTAGCCAATTACTCTTATATTTTCCTATTTATTCGTGAAATTCATAGATTCTAACTGCAATTCCCCAAAAAGACAAGACAGACTCGTATCTTCAAATCATGCTGCTAGTTATGAGAAAACATGCTCTCAGAAATAGTTTCAGAAACAGTTTCAGAAACAACCTTTTCAAACTCTCAGACAAAACTCCTTTCAAAATTATTAAGAAAAGATCTGGATCATGTAAAAACTAACCGCCGACCTGTACTACACAGAATAAACTTATTAGGTGAAAGTAAAACTCCAGCATATCTATCACAACAGTTTATCATCGAACACTCAAACTCTAGTATGGTTCAACAGGAGTGCGGAAATTTGCTCCGGCATAAACTGCTTCAGCACCAAGCTCTTCCTCAATTCTCAGAAGCTAACATTGAAAACAACATAAACTACTTTCAGACCAACATTATTTTTCTCACATGTTTAAACTGCAAAGAGCATTTAAATAATATCGCTAACCTGATTGTACTTTGCAAGACGCTCTGACCTGCATGGTGCTCCAGTCTTAATTTGCCCCTGTATCGTAAACCAAAAAAATATTATGACAAACAGATCAATTTTTAAACAAATCTTTGGTGTGCAGTGACACGGTGGTCCAAGGTTCATAGATAAAGCAAATTACCGTGGCCAAGCCAACTGAGAGATCAGCAATGAAAGTATCTTCAGTCTCACCACTGCGGTGGCTAGCCATCACTCCCCACCCAGCTCTCTTGGACATCTTGACTGCTTCAATGCTCTCAGTTACAGATCCAATTTGGTTGACCTATTCCGATACACAGAGTATACTAAGCTTTTTATCTATAGTTGAGCATGGCCAGAAAACCCAATGGCATAAAAAGAAAATTGAAATGGTACCTTGAGGAGAAGGGCATTGCAACTCTTCTCTTTGATAGCCTTCTCAACCCTCTGCAAACACATTAATACATAATACACTTAGGTTTTATCTGAAACCAAAAAGAAAAGAATAAAAAAGATCGATTTGAGAAGGCTGACAAACAAAAATGACTCAGTACTAACCTTAGGATTGGTAACCAATAGATCATCTCCCACAATTTGTACATTCGCTCCAATTTCACCAGTCATCTTGGCATAGTGCTCCCAGTCATCCTGGTCAAATGGATCTTCGATCGACACAATAGGATACTCGGAAACAAATGACTTGTAAAGATCTTTTAATGCATCTCCTGAGATCTTTTGTGAACCATCATTTTTCTGCAAAGACAACAACCAAAAAAGATTAAGACCAATAAGGAAAATTATACATATAAGAAATTAAGACTCCTACACAGGGAAAAACATTAATCATACCACAAGGATGGCATAATGAACACAGCAAGAGCAATAAGCAGTATTGAGACAAATACTAAAAAATTGAATAAAAGATTCTCCTAAAATCTTTTAGAATCAGGCTACAACAACTGCCAATCTAATGCCTTCAAATGAATATCATATGGCAACAACTCTGGGAATATATTACACAAAACAATCCATTTGGTCTACAAACAATGCATGATTTCTCAATTGAAACAACAGCTCCCGAGTCCAACTCACCTCTTCTTTGAAGTTAAGATCATATGTCTTATCTGAACCATAGAACTCAGATGCAGCAACATCCATTCCAATGACAACCTAACAAAAATAAAAAAAAAAATATAATAATTTGTCTTCTGTTGTCATGCTCAAGTATCAAAAAGCAATAAAAAAATAATAAAAAATTATTAGAGATGAAACTCACTTTGCCAGTGTAACCAGCTTTGGCAATGGCTGTCTTGAGCAACTCGAGTCCTTCCTTGTTTTCCTGAGGTTGCACAAAATTTTGTTGATGTAGTTAAAAACTTATAAACTAGAAGCAAAATAAGAATACGCTAACAAGCAACACTTCTTAAATAATGAGATCCCATTAAAGTTTGGTCACCTGAATGTTAGGTGCAAAACCACCCTCATCACCAACGTTTGTTGCATCCTGACCGTACTTCTTCTTAATCACAGCCTAAAAGGGAAAATTAAAAAAAAATGTAGTAAGAAAAAGTTAGGCAAACAAAAAAGTCCAAGTAAACTTCACAACAATGTAGGAGTATTTTATTAATAGATGTGTGTCTAAAACCTTTCTTCCTTATCAAGAGATCAGAGAAAAATTTCACCTACGGATACTACAGGAAAGGAATTTAGAATTAATATACACCCACAACAGAACACGAGCAGCATAACAGAAACATGCTCTGTTCTCTCAAAGGCAATGCACAATGCAATTATGAACAGAAAAGATAAAAAATTTATTGGATATGTAATCATTTGGAAATGATATTCCCAAGTTATATTTTTTACAAAAACCCCAACACAAGGCCAGGGCAACAAAACACTCAAGCAAGGCCAAATCGACATTAAATAAACTTTCACTTTGATTTTTGTTATTGATAACTTCAAAAAATGTATAAATATAACTCCAATAAATAGTTTTGATGTCATGATTTTCTCAATATGCAGCAACAGCAAAACTTGTAAATGAAAGATCTTAGCATACCTTCAAATGGTGATATACTTCAACACCCATCTTCATGGCCTCATTGAAAGTAGACGCTCCAACAGGAAGAATCATAAACTCCTGCATAGCAAGTTTGTTGCCTGCATGTGATCCACCATTGATGACATTGAAAGCAGGTACTGGCAACACCAACTTCTTGTTACCAGCAAGTTCAGCAATATGCTGCATCCACAAAAACATGATCTCAGTAATTAATTTCCCACAAGAGAGAAAATTAATAATGATGATATATCCCTTATTTGCTTGGTCAAAAAGAATACAATAGATAATTTATTTCCAACTCCATGAGAAGCAGAACAAATCATGTTCTGTAAAACAATATTTAGAAAATCTGAAAAATCTACCAGAACCAATGAATAAACTATTGAACTTATAACACATAATGCAATAATTAGAAAGCATAACAAACCTTGTACAGTGGAATCTTCTTGACATGGGCACCAGCTTTGCAGACTGCAAGAGACACTGCCAAAATGGCGTTTGCTCCAAGCTGAAAAACCACATTAAATGCCAGTAAACACACACCCAAGTAAACATGCATATAGATTTGAAATTTAGGTTGGCCTGTCAAATACCTTCTGTTTGCACCAACCCCACTCATTTACGGTTCCGTCAAGTTGTTGAACCATGAAATTGTCAATTTCAGTCTGCTTGGTTGGGTCCTGCATAAAACAACACAAAAAATTGCAATTCACATAGAGAAAGAACTCACAATTTACAAAAAAAAAAATTCCATGAGCAAGTGACAAACCTTGCCAATGAGAGCTGGACCAATGATTGCATTGACATTCTCAACAGCCTACATACATAAAAACACATCATCAGCTAACGGTACCATAACACTTCTTTAGAAACCAAACGGAGGCTATTGCACAAACTAACCTTCAATACACCTTTTCCAAGGTAGTCTGAGCCTCCATCTCTTAATTCAAGAGCCTCATAAATTCCTGCACATTGGACCATTAATTCATTGCTAATACCAAACTTTAAATTATTTAAATAGAAACTGCCGATTTTATAAGAATTCTAGAAAGATAATAAACCATAAAACAAGTAACATACCAGTTGAAGCACCACTTGGAACAGCAGCTCTTGCCAAGTGATCATCTGATGTTTTCACGTCAACCTAACATTATCCAGATTAACTCAATCAATTACAAAAACCACAATTAAAGGATAACATGTCCGATAACGATACGGAGATTTTGAATCGCGGTAACGTAGAATAAGTAAAACGAATAGCAAACTCGCCATTCCACATGCTCGATAAACGATTCGACTCAGCGACTCAGTAACCGACAGTAAAACCTCACAACTAAATTATATCAATAACAAATCTATACTCTTAATAAATCACCAGTTAGAACAAAATCTAGAAAGTATCGAAAAACAGTAAACAAAGAGATCGATGAGCTAAGAGACAAACCTCGACCGTCGGATTGCCACGGCTGTCGAAGATCTGCCTGGCCTTGACGGATACAATTGTGATAGCCATATCTAAAGCTTATAGAAGGATCTAGAAGGAGTGAAAATAGACAGTGTTCAGAGTAGTTGCGAGGGTGAACGAGAGTGGTGCGGGTATTTTATAGAGGGGAGGTTGATTAGAGCCGTCTGATTTATGATTAAAGTTAGGTTTAGCTTTATTAAAACGGTGTGCTTTAGTACGTCAGATATCATGTGTTTGGGTTTCTAATTTTCTATGGGGAGGGCTGGTTTTAACTGACTTTCTTTGTTTGTTTTGTTGGTGGACACGAAGTTTGGTGAGTCTTGCTTTTTGAGCAAGAAAATACTGAGATCTATTTTACCGACCGTTACGGTAAATATGCAATTTGTTTGAAATAAATAATATAAAAATTGCTTCTATAGGATGTATAGAAACACTAGGTACTGCTCACAAGCAGAGTAATATTTACCCTTTTATCCCCGAGGTTTGGGGTTTATTTCCTTTTTGCCGTTGAGGGGAAGGTTTTATTTATTTTTTTATTTTTTTTGTTTGGAGGTTTGGGGTTTATCAAGTATATTATTATATTACTTCTTTTTAATTTTAAAATTTCATCTTATACCCTTATTTCTAATAATGTAATATCATTTTTAGTCATTTTAATAATAAAATGTACTTATAAATCACGTTTTATCAAACGTCTCAACTATTTATCAATCATTTATAAGTACTTTAACAACCAACTACGTAACTGCTTAAATTTTAAATGCTTATAAGCTAATTTTCATAAGCTCGATCAAACAAGCTCTAAATAAAAACACTTAAATCCTATCATATAACTCACGTTAGTATTGCTTTTTGTTAGACCACTTTCTTAACATTGTAAGGGTGTATTTGGTTAGGGGAATGTTCTATTGCTGAAACCGGTGAGATAAATTACCTTGAAGATTATGGGAGAATATTATATCAATATGTTTGGTTAAATTTGTGAGTATAAATAATTAAAATATCTGATTGGGAGAAATAAAATATTATCGACAGATACTTTTACTGGATTGCCCATAATAATAATAATATATTATTATTATTATTTAGATAGATTACTTTTAACCTGCTACATTTGAGAATTTAGCTAAAACACCCCAACAATAGAAGTTTAAATTTAACAAAATATCCCAACTACTGCAGACGACTGCCAGCCACCGCCTCTGCCAGAAGTCGTCAGAACAGTCGGATCCGGTCGGCCATGCGTCAATCTGGCTATTGTCAGCCAGACCAAAGGCTAAAAACTACCAGATGGTCGTGGATTTGGCCATTTTCGACCAGATTCAAGGCCGTTAACAACCATATATGTGGTTGTTAATGGCAGTGGATCTAGCCAAAAACGTTTAGATCTATTCTAGCCATTAACGGCCATGGATTTGGTCGAAAACGGCCAGAATACATCTGGCCATTAACAGTCATATCGGTCGTGTGCCGTTCCGACGACTATTGGTCGTGTGCCGTTCCGGCGACTGTCGGTGATGGCTAGCGGCTAGCAATCGTCTGTAGTGACTAAATAATTTTGGGCGATATTCATATAAATAGTGAGGGCATTTATGTCCAAAAAATTAATTAATAAGGTTATAGAAGTCATTTTGCATAGTTGAGCTAATTGTTATTTGGTAGACATATGAAGGCATTTATGTTCGAAGTGTTTTTTAATTAAAGGTAAAATTGGTATGAACAGTGGATTATCCCGTTAATCTTTTAATAACATCTATTGAGAAGGTAATCTGATTACCCCCTATATTATCAACAGTAACAACTATTTAGCAATGAAAGATTACCGTAATCTCTTATTACTTGACAACGAAACAACATAATGCCCATAATAAAATATAGATTATAAAAGTAATCTTCTTAGACACCTAACCAAACGCACCCTAAGGGGTTTTGAAGTATACATGCCATCAATATGTTAGATTTGCCCTTTACGATGTTAAGAAAATAGGCCAACAATTCTAACATTAGTCATCTGATAGGATTAAAGTGTTTGTATTCCATAGTATCGGGACAACATGAACATACCTCAAACCTCAAAGATTAGAGAAAAATATTCCCACATTTCTATGGAATATATTCTTCATCTAAAAAAAAAGTTTCTTAAATAAAAAAAAAATAAACGTTAATTTGGCCAATCTTAGTTTAATAACTATGATTCACTTTCCATAAGTGTGGTAAAATACTTAACAATAATTGAACGAAATCTCAAGGAAGGGTAACAATACTTATAAGGAAATTAGATATATTTCCAAAATACAAGGGGTGTTTTAAAATTAAACTAAAAAGATGTATTTATAAACATTATTTTATGTTATAATATTTAAGATATAAATAAAAACGCTTTTTACCGAGTGAAAATTTTAGATAACCTATATTCATTTTATCTCTTGAAAAAATTAAATCATTCAAAGAATGATTAAATATCAAATTTCTTTAGAATGAATAAATATGGTTTCAACTATTATAATATATAATGTGAAATTTGTAACGTATAAACATAAACATGTAAACTGTCGTTTACCAATATATATAGGGTTATTATTATTTGGAGGATAGTTAATTTGTAAAACTAGATTAAAAAAAAGAAACAAATGACACTTTTTAATATTTGTCTGTTTATTGATAAAAAGGGTAAAAAAAAAAAAAAGTATGTTTAGTTTATAAAATAAATGTCCTTCAATTAATAATAATGCATATAAATATTATAGTTGAACGTCCAATAAAACATAAGGTAAATGATACATCAACTCTAAAGTCAAGAAGGGTGAAAGTTCCATTCATCATTAAAGAAGACTACGAGCATAAGGAGAATTAAAGGGTTAACATATGTCATTTGTGTTGACTATTTTGTTTACATTTATTTAGAAATTAATTAATCTGGGTATACTTTTATTGGTTTCACATGTCAGCAGCCTGCGCATGCTGTTTTAACTTAAATTTAGGCACGATAGGTGTTGACTGGCATGAGTAATGACATCAAGATTTGCAGCATTTTAATTACAATATCAACATTGGAAGTTATGACTATTATATCCCGATTCTCGCCCTCACATGTAATGTCACTCATTAGGGACCACATTTGCCTCTTATTTTATAAATTACACTCAACAAATAATTAATAAAAACCTCTTCTCTCTTAATTTATAAGATGTTTGAAATTTGAATCGTGATCTGACCACAATTTTCATATATCTATAAATATAACATCTTCTATCCATTATTTATAGGAAAGAGAGAGAGAGAGAGAGAGAGAGAGAGAGAGAGAGATTTTAAACAAAACCGGCCCCCAAAATATAATTGAAATTTTTGAACTTAAATTCATTAATATTTTTAATATTCAACAACTGTGTTTGAAATGATACTGAAAAAAATGTTCCTAAAATTGAGAGAACATAATTTTTTTTTTTTTTTTTTTTTGTTATGGTCAAGAGTGTCTAGACCAATTTACGCATATATTAACTAATCTTTTTATATTCTAAAATTACTAACCAATTAGAGCTCTAATGACTACTCTTATTATCAACAAAAAAAGACTCGAATTTAAGGTCTGATAATAATATTTGTGTTATTAGGACCAAATGATATCATATAAATATTTTATATAAATTTTAGAGAACGGTGCTTACAAAAAGAAGAATTAAAAGAATCTCCTCGACAGGATTACGTAGATTTTATTTATTTATTTTTGACCCACTAAATTTGGAAAATAATTATATGATAGTTAAAATTTAGTTAATGGTATGCAATGAAATCAATTTCGTATCTTGGCTTGAAGCTTAGTTCAATTTTGATGGGATGATATTTTTATCTTTGTATTTCATATACTATTTGTTGACGGAGCTATCAACATAAAGTATCACCATTCTCGATTGTTTCATTTTTGTATCGTTCCGACTTCCGATGGACGGATCTCAAATCTCAATCACTTTAACATGGCAAACAGGTAGATCTAAACCTACTTCATATATATTCTTTTTACTTAAAAGGATTAATCGCTTTTCAAAAGTTATGCATTATTTGATTTTCGGATTGCTAGTTTTATATACTGACAAAAAAAGATATATTTTATTTTATTTGTCAATATGTTTTCATAACTATTAAGATGTCAAAATGACCCACAGGTTTCGGGAGCATCTCTAAAAACTCTTTATATGATCCAAACTCTTTATTTTAAAGAGGAGAAAACTATATTTTCCCACCCAAGCTTTGGCCAATCTATAAGTTCCCACCATTGGTTTCATAAATTGCAGATTCCCACCCTTGAATTAATAGAAAATTGTTTAATATAATAGTTAAAAGAGCAAAATGGTCATTTCAAAATAACCATTCACTTCTTAATTCAGCCCACCGGGGAAAATGACATGTTTTCGGCATAGTCGACCCCTCTCGACACCACCATTACAATCCCCTCAACCCCCATATCAAAACCCCTAACCTCTCCACCTGATTAATCCCCTCAATCGTCGATCGCCGCTCTTAGTTTTTGTAACGCCCACATCAAAGTACGTAACTTGATTTATGCCCTAATACCCTTAGTTGAATTTTACTAGAGTTATCTTTAACAAGTGTGAAGAAAATTCCTTAAAACTTCACTAAGGGTAAAATGATCATTTCACTCTTAATTAGTTGAAAGTGTGGGGAGTGAAAAGAAGTAGAATGCAATGGAAATGAGGACATTATTGTAATTGACTAAGAGACTTAGATGAAATTTTATAGAATGTGCAAGGGCAAAATGGGAATACATGCTTATATTATTTGCTATAAGGTTTCATTTGAAGAAACCCTAACCAAAATGCAGCCCTTGTTCACGCCATATTCTCCCACATTTTCTCTCAATTTTCTTCACTAAATTTCAAAGGGAAATCATAGGATTTGGCTTGGATTTTCATAGATTTTCAATCCTAAAGCATCCTAAGGTAAGATTCTAGCAAAAAGAGTGTGATAAAATTTAAAGTTTTAAATTCTTATGGTTTTTATATGATCTAGGTCCAAGAGGAAGAGATTTAGAGCAAAAGGGAAGTGATCTCACATATTTAAGGTAAGTAAACCTAGTTTGAACCTTAATTTGAGCAAGACTTGTGTTGAATGAATTATTGCATGCTTGTATGTGATGATATGAGAGAATTATTGACTGTTTTTTATGTTTAATGATGTGTAATTTCCAACCATGAGAAGTAGTGTATGGTTATGTGATGATTTGGTAAAGTTATAGAAGAATTAGTGATGGAATTTTTGAAGTGTAGAGAAATGTTGAAAATGGACAGGTTTGATGCTATAATTATTGAGTTTTTGGCTCACAATTTGGTGGAATTAGAGAGTTGTGGAAGTGTAGCCAACATGGTAGTTGCATGTGCACATGAAGTGTTTCATGAAAATCCAAAGAGAAATTGCATGCATGAGTTGGCTAAACCATAATGAAGAAAGGGTTAGAGAAAGGCAAGAATTGAAGTTTGATTATCTATTATTGATCTTTTAACATGTTTTCATAGGGGAGAATGGTTAGGAAAGGTTAGGGAGTGAGTGGAGGTAAACATGTATGGAAAAGCCTTAAAGTAGGCATGTTACCAAGGTTGTCCTGTCAAATCTGTGACCTTCTGAGTGATTTTTTGGCATCTTACCGATCGAATTGGATTGAGACCTAAACATAAGAGTTGTAGCCCTTTCTCTAAACTTTAAAATGAGACCAAGATCATAGCAATCCAACGTGTATAACTCGAGATATGCCTTCTTGAATATGACCTGTGCAGTATGACTACCTCAAAAGTGCTTCCAATTTATTAGTTTATTTTTTGTCTAATAATCTATGATTAATTTCAAGTATGAGAATGTTGTTGGTAGAAAATACTAGTTCTCTAATGATATTTTTATATGCCATAATGCATTCTCACATTCTCACATTTGCATTTAGAAAGAATAGCAAAGAATGAGCATATTTTCATGCACATACACATGTATGAGAATATTAAAGAATAAAGAGAAAGAAAAGAAATTACATGTAGAAGTATTATCTAAAGAATATAATTAAAGAATAATTCAAATCTGAAATTTTACTTAAAGAAATATAAAAAGAGAAGAGAAGAGAAGGTTGTTGCGATGGAGAACCCGTGAGTGACAAAGAAGAATAGCCTCACATGCACGCCGCCTTTAGTGAGCGGCCTCAGAATAAGAAAGAAGAATTTGTACAGTTCGTTAGAAGTGCATGTGGATGAGAATTGTATCCAGCAGAGCATACCTACATGCACGCTGCCTTTAGTGAGCGGCCTCAGAATCAGAAAGAAGAATTTATAAAGTCCGTCAGAAGTGCACGTAGATGAGGACAGTATTCACTCACATGGTCAGGGTTCCGAATCCATACCTCAACCGAGTCCGATCGGCAAGAAAGAATAAAAAAGAAAGAAAGAAAGAAAGAATAGAAAAGAAAGAAAGAAAAGAAGCATAGAAAGAAACACAGAGAAAAGAAACAGAAAAGAAAGTGCACATCTTATGTATTTGTGCATTTGCATCATACCTATGCATGATACCATGCCTACTATCATGGAAACAGAGAAAGAAAATAATTAGAAATACAGAAAGAATAGAGAATGATGATGTAGGGAAAGAAATTTAGAATATGAGCAACGGAGAGAGAAGAGTAGCATAGCGGGTTTATTTACTGAGCAATTAGTGCTCACCACGTTGTTTTCAATGTTTTTGCAGGTAGTAGGAGAGATGCGTTCGGTTGGAGCGTCAAGAAGCGGAAGGGTCTGGCAACACTGTCGAGTTTATTTTTAAGTAATTTTGTTAACGTACAGTTTTGTATATAAAGAAAAATGAGTTATGGGCCCATTATTTTATACTCATCTACATGTATATTTTCTTAATCTATAGATGTTAGTGAGTTTTACTGTTTATTTTAGAGTATGCTAGCTAGAGAGAGAAAGCATTACAATTTCAGTCAACGTTTCATCCAAATTCTGGCAGGTCTTGGCACCGAAAACCACCCCCAGCACCACCAATAACATCTCTGGCTTCCCCCCACCAAATCCCCCAACATCGTCGATCACAATTGCCCCCCCGATCGCCATCGCCCTCCCTTAGGTTTTTGTGTTTTGTCGCACTTTTCAAGCCAAATTCAGGCACCTCACCGAGATGCAATCAGGTGGAAAAGTTAGGGGTTTTGGTGACAAGGATAAGGGGATGTTGATGGTGGTGTCGGGGAGGTCCAATGGTGTTGGGATCTCCTCTACGGGTTATTTGAGAGAAATTTAAGATGTGGGGGTTATTTTGAGATAAAAATAATGATGTTAATTTAAGAGTATGAATATGTAATTTATGAAACCAGGGGTGGGAACTTGTAGATTTGCCAAACCTTGGGTGGGAAAATGTCGTTTACTCTTATAAAGAGTCTATCCATAAAAACAAGAGTTCACCAAACTTTTTATCCCTTAAATATAAATTAAAGAATGAGTTTAACTCTTTACATTTAAAGACTCAAATTTCACTCTCAATCATAATTTTAATTAATAAACTATAAGTTTCTATACATTTTATTTATTAATTCTCTCTCATATTAAGTCTCTTTTTTTAAAATAAAAAGCATCTTCATTAAATTTAAAAAGTCCATTGGATTTAAATAAAAATTTTGTTATTTATATTTAAAAATTAATAAAAATACTCTTTATTTATATGAAAAATACTCTTTAAAATAAAAAATACTATTAGAGATGTTCTAAATAACCCCACCCTAATGGGTCAGATTTTGATAGGAAAATTTTTAGGGTGAATCAGATTTGGATTTGAATATATGGATCCGTATTATTTTGAGGCGGGCATGAAAATGCTAATTTTGACCCTGACCGCCCTATTTGTCCAAAAAATATATAACTATGAATAAATAATATATTTAATGTATAATTACTAACATAGTATATTTTATTCAACTTTATAATTGCATGAACATTAAAAAAAAAATCACTGGTGTATCTCTCAATCAATCAAATTAGCACTGGTAAAGGCGAAGTATTGATTCAAAGAGAACGTCAAATCATTAGCATATTATCTGAAATCTCTCCTCACTAGAATATGATTCAATGAGAATATCAAATATAGGCCTTATCATTTGCTACTTGTAAATTTAGCTGCCATAATCTAACCTCCCCTGAGGTTTTCATTTAAATTAATTGTCATCCCTGTGGTACGATAAACCATTTTTGACCTCCCTTCACATTTGAATAAATTGTCACGTACCCCCTCATCTCCTTTTTTGTCTAAGTGAAATTGGTTATAGAAGCTGTAAAATACCTATTTGCCTTTATGAAATAATAATCTAATGTACTGTTACATATTTGACCTTCACACATAGAGCTTTTGGGATATTTTTGTAAAAACCAAATATCTTCATATTGGTTAATATAAATTTTTTCACTTTTTTTACATATCTTCTTCGATCCAGAATACGTAGTGTAGTTACAATTTTTGCTCCTTCACCTCAAGGGTTGACTATTAGAAAAAAATAGATGAGGGAGGAAAGAGACAATCTATTGAAATATAAAGAGAGGTCTCATCCCACACCCACAGGGATGCAACTGATAATTTATGGAAACCTCACGGGAGTTAAGTGATAATACAGTACTCCTTTCAGGAAACCTCTTTCTAACAAACAGTATTCATTTTGGTACAATAATTCAATAGATGCCACACAAACTCTTGTTAAATCCATTTACGTTTTATTGGTCAAAATTCACACATTTATAGTTCATGTCTCATTTTCTTTTTTATAAACTTTACTACGTCTGTAATAACATGTAGAGCATTATTGATTAACTAAATCAGCGGGACAACTATGACCTGGGCAAGATATTCACTTTGATGATAAATAACCAACATAAATCACATAGAAAATACTGATTCTAACTTTATTAATTCCTAGAACTATTTGTCTAGTACTCACCTCCATGTCCGAACAAGATGGATAAAAACAGCTAGAAATATGACATTAACTCATTGGATTCATATTAAAATCCCTCTACATCGCATTTTATTAAAACGTTCTGCAAGTAATTGAAACTTGATAAGCGTTGTTTGTGATGGTAATGCTGCAGACTGAGGTAGTATGCAGAAATTAAATTCTTGTAACACAATCTCGAACAATCCTAATGTAGGCGTTGAATAAGGCATTTATTATAAATTCTTGGCTTAGAAACACACCAATGATAGAGATCTTACCATAACTACCACGAAAATAACGTCTATTTCTAGATTGATGTTTGTAGCTCTTTTAATCTGATCAACTGAGGTGAACATATAAAGTTGAACTCCAAACTTTTACCTAATCCCTTATTGTATTCTCTCATCCTAACCTCTTGATCTAGATGAATACACAACATGTTTGATGCAGTCACACACACCATCATAGAGCAGAAGCAGATTAATGCATCCGTTATCCACAGAACTTTTCCTCAAGCTAGTTCAAGTACTTCTCAAATTCTATTAGAAACTAGCTCATGCCTGAATTTTGAAGCCCCAAAAGACTCAAACTTAGGCAAAGTTTGAAGTCTGTCATTAAGCCGAGCTAAATAACCCAAATACTCAGACTCTCAGCTCATTTGCACCTCTAAATGAAATTCTACACAGGCAGTAAGTAAAATCTAACATCTCTAAATCATGAATACCCAGTTAAAGTATTTAGGGTCAGTTGATTAAAATTGAACTCAACAAAGTATTCTGTTCCCATCTAAACAACCTTTCCTCTCCTCTTTCTCTCTTATGCAGAGTATGTACATACAAAAGACAAAAGAAGGAAAAAAGAAAAAGAAAAAAGGTAGACTAAGGATACATGGTCACTAACACAAGTCACTAAAATATCAATGTTGCAAAGAGACAACCCTGCAGCATCATTAAAAGTCACATTCCTTCATGGCCCAAAACATTAGACAATAAAAAAACATATCAACCCTGCAGGATGCAACATCTTTAAGGCAAAAATAGGCAAACAGGAAATTAAAAAAGGAAGCCCCAAATCAATGGAACAATATGCATTACCATCACAATTTCACAAACAAGAACATAAAAAAAATTACAAAATCTTGAACAAAACCTAACTTATTGTATCCCATTTTATTAGGAAGTTTTAATTCTTCAACTCTCGTATTAATCTAAAGCTCACCGGACTCAGAGCACTTTGAGCATATCTTCAGCTCCACTGAAGGTAAACTCGCCGCCCTCCTCCAAATTAAGCACCTTAACGACGCCGTCCTCGGCCAAAAGCGCGTACCTTCTTGACCTAATCCCCAACCCAACGGGTTTATCACTCAAATTCAACTCACAACCAATTGCTTTTGTGAACTCGCCATTCCCATCAGACAACAAGAGCACCTCATCTTTAATTCCAAGATTTTCCTTCCACGCCCTCATAACAAACGCATCGTTTACAGAAATGCAGGCGATGGTGTCCACGCCTTTGGCCTTAAGCTCAGCGGACTTTTCGACAAATCCCGGGAGGTGTTTTTGAGAGCAGGTTGGTGTGAAGGCGCCGGGGACGGCGAAAAGGATGGCCTTTTTGCCGGCGGTGAGGGAGGAGATGGTGGTGGTCTGGAGTTCCCCGGCCGGGTCGAAGTAAGACAGAGTGGCGTCCGGAAGTTTGTCACCGAGAGAAATGGCGGCGAAGATGGTTGGGTTTTTGGTGGAGAAAGAGAGAGTGAGAGGCTTAGAAAAGCGGCAGGGGAGGGAATGTTTGAGTGGGTGAGGGAGGAAAGAGACTGCTTTAGGAGGTAAGAGAGCGAGTTTGGTTGATGTGGTGGTGGCGACAGCGGTGGAGGAGAGCAATCGGGAGAAGGTGAGAGAGGAGGCCATTTGGGTTTGGGCGGAGGAAACAATGAGGGTTGTGCTTTGCTTCAGTTGGAAGGGTTAGTGTTGTGTGGGGAAATGAAGTTCGATTATTGTTGAGTTGGCTTGATATGTCTATGTTACGAGATTTTTGGGAGTGTTCTGGTAAGATTATGATGCCATGATATAATATGGTGTTTTAAATCTATGCCATACGATTTTGAACTTGGGCGTGAGTAGCTCATCTTTTACATTGTCTTTTTGGTAAATCATTTGATAAGTTTTAAGCATTTGTGTATCCGTTCGATATTGCTAGTAGTGTTTAACACCTAGGAAAATTTTCTAACACTTATTTTTCTCATTTTTTTTTTTTTTAAATATCATGTATGCCCATGCCCACGTTTTAATCCGGGGATAGTTTTAAAAGGAGTGATGCTATTGATCCCCACGTTTTACCTAATTAGATCCTGATTTATATTTTTTTTTCCCTTAATTACAATTTTATCTTCTATAAAAATTACCAAGTAAGACATAAAAAGTATTAGATAAAGATTGACTCACAATCCAATCTTACAAACTTTCTCTTACAATTTTGACGTAACAACTTGCAATTGGTCAGCTTGCAAATGAGCAAGCGGGACCATAATGAGTAAATGGAACCCATTTACGAGCTAACTAATTGCAAGTTGCCACATCGGGGTTATGAAAGAAAGTTTGTGAGATTTGGTTGTAAGTGTATTACTATCCAAAGTATTTTATGCACAACCTATCTACAATAAATCTTTTCCCATTAATTTAAAATTTTTATTTTATTTTATACATCATAAATCTGAAAAAATGTAGATGAAACAAGTTTAATGAATATTATATGTGTTGTTACGAAAATTTGTAACAACTTGTGATAGTCAATTGACTTTAAAGGAATTGAGTAGAATATGTGCGTGATTAATGAAAATCAATCAGTAATAAATTTATTCGAAAATAACAAAAAATAAAAGAAGATTTTTAAAGTTATTTGGCCAGTTCAAATCAAGCCTACATACACTTTTATGTTATTCAAGTATTTTTGTTGCCTTACAATAATGGTCTCTTCTATCAAGTTTTTCAAACGGCGACTAGAGTTACTACCGAAGATAAAATGAAGATAATGAAGATGAAACCAAGTTGTCGCCCACGTGAAAATGAAAAATTTAAGAGATGAAATGAAGAAATATATAAATGGAAGAGTGAAAAGCTGGGTTGAGGCTCAATAGAATGAAAATTTGGGGAAAACCGGTAAAAAAAATCGCATTTTAGGAAAGAAACCTAGGGGTATGAGTTGACCCAATTTTTCCCCAAAATCAGTTGGACCGGCGGGTTGCTACAATGACCCCATTCCAACCACACATCATACTGGGTGAATTTAGCCCCTGCATTTTATGCCAACCCAACCCTGCTCAATGGCCGGTTATTGGTCAAATCGGCTCAACCAGCGAGGTCAGGCCGGGTTTTAAAACCTTGGTGTAAATCTAATTTTAACCTAAAGCATATAACTTGATTTGACCCCAACTGCCCTTCTCAGTTTCACACATATAATAAGGTGGGTTTTCAATTGCTACTTCAAATGTTGAATGGAAATGGCTTCTTTGCCCTTCTCGCAATTTATTCAAACGGTGAAAACTAACTAGAGGGGGTATGTATGGTAGTTTTGGAAGTTGATAGGGTCAGGGTTACTTTCTTAAGTATCAAGGGGCGCAGATCCTTAGGTATCAAGGGGTCTAAATGGTAGGGGTGGGCAAAAAAATAGGGTAGAACCGGAACCAACGAGTACTTGGGTTTCGGTTCCGGTTCCGGTTCCTACTCGGAACCGACTGCCACATGGTCGGTTTTGGTTCCGAAAACCTGGAATCGATACTATGCGGGTCCCTAGTTCCGGTTCCACCACCTTAGGAATCAGAACTGGGACCAAATTGAAATATTAAAAAAATATAAAGACCATTGTAAAATTTTACGATTCAATAAAAGTTTTTCCTTATTTCTTCCGGAATTTTCTCTTATTTTGCTTGTTTTATTCACAACTGAATTTAATTGATGTCTTACCTTGTTATTAAAATTAATTCACCATTTTTAGTAAAAACAACTTTATTTTTCTATTCATTTTCTTCTCATCACCTATACTGAACACAACAACACAAAAACCAAATTTTTAAATAAAAATAACTCTATTTTTTCCTTCCATTTTCTTCACATTGATATTGAACGCAACACACACACAAAAAGGAGAAAACATATCCAAATCCAACTTCCGCCATTTAACATTAATATTAACAGAAACTTAAATCTTCATTTTTCATGCAAAAAATCAATTTGGCATAATTTTTTTTTTATTATTCATACAAAAAATCAACAAAGCATTAAAAAAAAAAAAATCAATTTGGCTAGACTTTCAAATTCTTCCAGCTATTTTTTAAAATTCGGCACAAATCCTCTTTTAATAAATGCAAAAAAGGAGAAGGAGGAGAAGAAGATAAGAGAAGAAAAGACATCTACAGTAGGGTGTTCTTCGTTTTCTCTTGGCTAGGGTTTTGTGGGGGGAAGAAGAAGATAAGAGAAGACAGGAGAGAACTTGGCTTGTTTTGTTCGAAGATGAATGGAATAGAGAGATATGCGTAACTTTTAGGGCAACCTTGACTAGGGTTTTGTGTGGCGAAGAAGAAGATAAGAAAAGAAAGAAGAGAACTTGGCTTAGTTTGTTTGTAAGCGGCGCTTAGGGGTTTAGGTTATAAAAAAGGTTTTTCAAAGTGATTGGTACATGATTTATAATCCAATGGTCAAAATTCGTTGTGAGATGGGGGTGTATTTGTGACTTTTTAAGGGTTTATTTGTCAATTTTGAAACAAATATGGACTATTTTATCGTTTTGTTGGGTATCCTAGAACCGAAACCGAAACCTATAAAATAGGTTCTGGTTTCAGCTATTAAGAAACCGAAACCGTCGGTTCCGATTCCATTTTTCAAGAACTGGTCGGTTCTGGTTCCTTCAAAAAAGGGTAGGTACCCGAACCTGCCCACCCCTATTAAATGGTATTAACCTTTTTTTATCTTTACTTCTAAATTAATAGGATTTTAACGATTTTAAGATTATTGTATTGATTTTATTCAAATTAGTCTACATGAAATATGAAGTCTAATTTGTTAAAGCTAATTTATATTTAATTAATTATTTAACATGTTTTTAATTTTTTAGTGAAACTCATCCTAGTCTTATTTGTTTTTCTCAAAATTTGACATGGGCTATAGCCCGAGTCAAACAAGGGGTTTCACCCCTGGCCACCAAGGACAAGAGTTGGTCTAGCAAATCTAGGGAGGGTAAAATCACAACCACCACCTAGGGTGAGCAAAGCTTTCGGGTGGATCGGAACCGCAAGGTACCAGATGCTCCCATTCTAGTTTCTACCAATAATCGACACTATGTGATATGATAAGTTCCGATTCTCAAATTTAAGGAACTGGTCTTATACGATTTCTATTCTGGTTCCACCACTCAAGGAATCGAAACCGACCCGAGAACCATAATCAAAACTGAATATGATATGTGATTTGGAACCAGTTTAAGAACTGAGTGGCAACCTTGTAATTTCAGCAAGTAAGTTGGGACTCGTACGAAATTACAAATTCTGGTTGCTTCACTTCCTCCCGTTCTTCCACTTTCTCCATTCGTCTTTAGGGTTTAGAAGGAAAAAAATTCTCTCAACTCTTAATCTTTGCTGGCCCCACCGTCGACCATTTCTGGAAACCAACAGTCGCCTCTTCGTTCCTATTCGCTGTTCTAGTCCACCATTTCCCAGTTCTGTAAGACTTGATGTGGCCACATGCCACAATTATGCAGTTCAAGGTGGTTTAAAAGAGTTATTAACTGCCTCTTTTGATCCTTGATGGGAGGTTAAAAGGCAGTTGATAGGAGTTACTTGGTCCCTAGCCTAGCCATATATAAAGATATCATCTTCTCCATCAAAGTGATATCACGAAAATATAAAAGAAAGAAAAGATTCTGGAGGCATAGGCTAGAAGACATCTCTCAAATATTCACTCATAAATTATTCAATACACTTAAACAATATGGCTGGAGGTAAGTGATTAAATTCCGCATTATATTACATACGTAATATTCCGCATTTGGTATCAGAGCGATGCTTCTTGCTTATTGTTCAGTGTTAAGATGTGATAAAGTATGCTGTAACTTTATTTATGTTTTTTATTCAATTCTGATTCTTTCATATTCATGTTTGGGAATTTTGTTTGGTTAAATTAGTTAGAAAATTAAATTCCCTGTGAAATTATGAGAAAAAGGGCGTTTGAATCGTCTAAAAAGGAGTTAAATTGACTGAGTTATAGTATTTTAAATTTTCGGGTTCGAATTAGGTTGTTTTCGGGTCGATTATCCGGTTGCAGCCCGGTTGAAGGTTGAAGACGACTGGGCCTTAAGATATGACAAGTCGTTTTTCTTTAATTTTTGAAACCGACATGTCGTTATTTAAAAAAAAAAAAAAAATTTTACGCATTGACTCGCCTGGGGCTCGAACCTGCAATCAAGTGGTTGAGAGTCTTTTATTTGACTCACTGAACCACAGAGGCTGATTGGCGCGCTTGTATTTTGTTTGATTAAATTTAATTTATTGTATTCTGCAAAGAATGCTATTAATTCTGTCATGTTAATTGTTAAAAGCTGAACTACATTCACGAGAGTTGAACCCAGGTCTCTTGGGTAAAAGCTGAATCTCTTGACCACTGGGCTACATTATTTCTTGTGTTGTATTCTGGAATTTTAAGCTTTTTGTAGTGTGTTTTGAAATTTTAAGTTAGTTGTATTAAAACTGTTTCTGATATTACTATATATATGCTGAATTAAATTTTCTGTGCATATTTGATATGATCAATGTGAGTTTAAGTTGATATTATTATTATTGCCATATTGAAGAAGTGAATATTGTAATGTTTTAGGAGTAGCCAAAGCATCCTAAGGCATGTTAATAATCACATAAAGTTATTTTTTGTTTAAAATTCGTAAGGTTTTATGGCATGTAAATTTTAGAGATAATTGCCCTGCCCCAAAG